CACCGATCACTGTGTTCTGGCACTAGGGTGACTTTTCTCTAGTATTGTTTTATAATATGTTGTAGTAACTGCTGGTATATTGATCCCATTAGTGCTTCTTTCACTTTTTTTGCCCACTGTAAATTCTTCTACTTGCGGTTTACAACTTGTTTTCCACTTTTCGCTCAAAAACCCTCTAGAGGTTTCTGTTGGAGCTAACTTAAACAGTAGCATTCATCTGGGGAGTTACAAAGTTGCCCACTTTAGCATTTATTTTAGGACAAAACAACCAAACTAATAAACAATTATTTGGATTTTTCTGTGTTATGTAGGCTGAGCTGTCTTGGTATTTTGGCTTCTGGGTATTTTTCTCTAATTAGAATGCAAACGCTATTAATATTTTTAAAGATTTTTTTTTTTTTTGGAATGTCAGATACACAGAGAGGAGGAGAGAGAGAAATATCTTCCATCTGATGATTCACTCTCCAAGTGATTGTAATGGCCGGTGCTGCACTGATGCGAAGCCAGGAGCCCAGATCTTCTTCTAGGTCTCCCATGTGGGTGCAGGGTTCCAAGGCTTTGGGCCATCTTTTACTGCTTTCTGAGGCCACAAGCAGGGAGCTGGATGGGAAGTGGAGCTGCTGGTATTAGAACCGGCACCCCCTATGGGATCCCGGTATAATCAAGGCTAGGACTTTAGCCGCTAGGCCATGGCACCAGGCCCTGCAAACTCTTTGAAGACAGTTTGTATAATTATGCATTAAAAAAAAATCTTGTTGTTATTTGCTAGTCTAGAGATCAAGTGTCTTGTTCATGCAAGTGAATGAATGTCCCATTCTGCTTATAAGATGGAGGAGTTGTCATTTTCCTGTTTTGAGAAGAAGGAATCCTTAAATTCTATTTGGTTTAGGTTTTCGATCAATCTTGTTAGATAGTTCAATATTTCATTCCTTTTAGTTTTGAGGAATAATCCTTTGTATAAAAATGACATTTAATTTTTTTCATTTATATCCTATTACAAATAAAGCAGTTATGTTTATTCATGTACAAGTCTGTAGAGATTTTTTTGTTTTGTGACAGGATTATATAATGGTTCTAGGATTGATTTTTTTTTTTTTTTTGTAGAGGTAACTTTTAAGAAACTATCAGGGCATTTCCCAAGTATAGCGAGTATATAAAATCTTTTTAAATAGCAACTGTGATAGATGTATTGTAGTATTTTGCTGTGATTTTTAAAAAGATATACATTTTGCTGACATGTGAAATGATGTTATAGGATACATATAGGTAGTAAAAAAGGTAACTAGTTGCCGATTTTGTATGTCAAGCAAACTTGACTCATTTGGTATGAATCCTATATATGTGGTATAATGTTATCTATTAACTATTTTGTATTCCCTGGCATATATCATATCCCTATTTTCCCTGAAGAAAGAGAATTTTTTTGTTATTTGTTTCTTATAGTTGAATGCTTGTTGAATTCTGTATTGTGCAATATTTTACATCTGTATCTAGCTTAGTTCATTTAGCATAGTGTGCTCTGCACCTTAGGTGACAAATGGCCTGAGCTTGTTATTCTTTTAGAGCTAACTTATGTATACACAAAATGACATATATACACATATACGTGATGTATACATATAGCACACATGTTATGTTTGTATGCTATATGTGTATGCATATGTTATGTGTGCATGTCATATATACACATATATTATCTGTACATATACAACATTTATACATATATGTTCTTTCATCTCCTGAATTTAGTTTATTCCTAGATAGTTTTGTTTTTGGATGTTGTTGCAAATGGAATTGCTTTTTTGCTTATTTCTAATTTTTTTTTATGGATTTATTTATTTGAAAGGCAGAGAGAGAGAGAGAGAGTGAGCGAGCGAAGAGATCTAGCATCCACTGGTTCAGTCCCCAAATGGTCCCCAAACCTGAGTATGAGTCAGGCTGAAGCAAGATTGAAAATCTGCTTAATATGCGCATGTGTTTGTGTTTTATTTATTAATTTAACTGTTGATAGACATTTGTGTTGATTTCATATATTAGCTATTGTGAGTTGAGCTTCTATAAACATAGGATTATATGCAACTTTTTTATATGCTGACTTCATTTCTTTGGGTTTGTTCCCATGATAACTTGGTCATATGATAAGTTTATTATTCATTTTTGGAGGAGATTCCATGCTGTCTTCTATAATGCTTGTGCAGTTTATGTTTTACTCAACAGTGCATGAAGGTATCTTTTTCCTTACATCCTTGCCAGCACTCATTGTTTTCTGATATTTAAATGACAGCTATTTCAGCTTGACTGAAGTTTTTTATTACATCTCCCTTATTGTAATTGTCCTGAGTATTTTTTCATTAATCTGTTGCTCATGTGCAGTTCACCAGTTAAAGAAGGGCTTTTGGCATTTCACCCCTTTCTTTACTGGAATTCTGGTGGTTATGTAATGTCTTGAGTTTCTTAGATATTCTTCATATTATTCCTTATTGAACACACTATTTGCATTTTTTTCCGTTCAGTTGGCTACCTCTTTACCTTGCTAATTGCTTCCTTTGCTGTACAGAAGCTTTTTAGCTTGGTGTAGCTAGTTTGTTTTTACGTCAGTTGCTTGTGCTTTCCTAAGAAGCCTTTGCTAAAACCTATGACTTTCAGAATTTTCCCAGTGTTTTCCTCTAGTAATACAATGACATCAAGCATAGCCTTATATCCTTGATCCATTCTGGGTTTATTTTTGTATAGTATGTAAGGTAGGATCTCGTTTCTTGCTTCTGCATGTGTAGATCCAGTTTTCTCATTATCATTTGTTGAAGAGATTGTCCTCTATCCCTGGGTTGACTTTGATTGTCAAAAATGCTTGGTTACAGATGTGTGGGTTCATTTCTAAGATTTCTATTCTCTTGCATTATTTGAATATCTATTTTTCTGACAGTATCAAACATTTTTTAAAATTACATTTGTCCTGCAGAACATCATGAAGCCTGATATTGTGATGGTTCTATATAATTTTGTTGTTGCTTAAGATTGCTTTAGCTGTTTGGGGCCTCATGTGTTTCCATATGAATTTTATCATTTTTCACTTGATTTTAGAAGAATGCCATCGGTATTTGGATTGGGATAATATTACATATATGTAAATTGCTTTGGGTAGTTTGGAAACTTTATTGATATTAATTCTCATCCATGAACATAGCAGATTCTTCCATGTTTAGGTGGGTTCTTTTTTCTTTCATTAATATTTTATAAGTCTCATTGTAGCTCACTCTTATATGCTTGACTAAATTTATTCCAAGACATTTAATATTTTTGCAGTTCATGTGGGTGGGATTGATGTTACAAGTTCTTTTTCAGCTATGGAATTGTTTGTGTATACAATGGCTATTGATTTCTGGGTATTGATCTTATATCCTGTAACTTTACCAAATTATTCTATGAGTTTCCATAGTCTCCTAGAAGAGTCTTCTTGTTTTTCTATATAGTGAATCATATCATCTGCAAACAAGGATAGTTTGAATTACTCCTCTCTAATTTGTATCCTTTTGATGACTTTTTCTTTGCTAAAGACTCTGATAAATATTTAAGAACTATATTAAGTAGCAGTGGTCAGAACGCTCCTATACTTATCCATAAAGTCTTTGCCTATCCTAATGTCTTGCACTAATTCCCTATATTATAGTTTTCTTACACTAACTTGAAAATTTCCAGTGTTAGAATTAAAGCCTTAATCCATTCTGAATTGATTTTTTTTTGCATAGGATGTAATGAAAGTGCCTCATTCCATATGTTTGCATCTGGAGGTACAGTTTTCTCAGCATCATTTGTTGAAGAGATTGTGCTTTTTCCGGGGAGCGATTTAGTTCATTGTCAAAGATTAATTACTTGTGGATTAATTTCTGAAATTTCTATTCTGTTGCACTGATCTACATGTCTATTTTTTGTTGAATCTCATCAAATACCTTCTGCATTTATTGATGACCATATGGTTTTTGTTCTTCTAATGATGTGATTTATAACCACCTCTCTCACAAAGAATTGATATCCTGAATATATCAGCAACTTGAAATTCTCAACAACAGTAAACAACCAACCCAGTCCAACCCAGTTGAGAAATGGGCAAAGGACTTCAAGAGACAGTTTTTAAAGAAAGAAATACAAATGACAAAAAAAAAATCTATGGCAAAAATATTCAACGTCATTAACCATCAGGGAAATGTGAATCAAAACTGTAATGAGATATCACCTCGCTCCTGTCAAATGGCTAAAATAAAAAACAGAGAGTAATGAATGCTGGTGAGGACGTAGGAAAAAAGGAAACATTTTAGTACACTTCTTTATATACTTCTGGTGGCGATGCAAATTCATGCAATCACTGGAAAAACATTACCAATATTCCTTTAAAAAGTAGAAAAAGACTTGCCATAGGATGTGGCAGTCTCACCAGTGGGTTTAGTCTCAAAAAATTTGTACAGATGAGTAAGTGATACTTACTTGTGTCACATGTTTATAGCAGCACTGTTTATGACAGCCCAAATTTAGAATCAACCAAAGTGTGTGTCACCAGATAGATGACCTCAACTGTAGAACATCATATTTGGTGAAATAAGGCAGTACCAGAAAGACAAATATCACCTACCAGGGGTGGGGGAAGGCTAAAATTTAAAAAGCAAAAATATTAAAGGAAACATCTGTCTTTGTATCAATATTTCTGTAAATGTAGTTTTGTAAAGCTTTTGTTTTATATATTTGTCAAACCAGAGTTTGAGAATGTTATACTACAGGCCTGGCGAGATGACTCAGTGGCTAAACCCTCACCTTGTACATGCTGGGATCCCATAATGGGTGCTGGGTTTTGTACCAGCTGTTCCACTTCTCATCCAGCTCCCTGCTTGCAGCCTAGGAAAGCAGTGAGGATGGCCCAAAGCCTTGGAACCCTGTAATTGTGTGGGATGCCTGAAAGAAGTTCCTGGCTTTAGATTGGCTCAGCTCTGCCCACCTAGGGAGTGAATCAGTGGATAGAAAACCTTTCTTTCTGTCTTTCCTTGTTTCTGTATATCTGCCTTTCCAATAAAAATAAATAATAATTCTTAAAAAAGAATTTTATGCTAGTATAGTTTGAATGATATGTGATTACTTCATAATTTACTATATATAAATGAAATAATAATTTTTTCTATTTTTTACAGCCATTGTCTGTATTAATAATAAACTAAGGTGTATTTACTCTTGATCTGTTCAGTGAAAAATGTTTTACTTATTCAAGCATGTTATGTTTTATCTGGTAGTTTTACTAATCAACTGATGTAAATTTTATTTATTTTGTTAATACAGTATATCATGTTTATTGATTTGAATATGTTGAATCATCTTTGTGTTTTTGAGATAAATTACACTTAATTAAATGAATAACTTTTTATTGTTTTTGATTGCTAATATTTTTGTTGAAATTTTTGTATCTATGTTCAGTGTGTCTATTGGTCTGTAAGTTTTTCTTTATAGTTGCAGCCTTTTTTGATATTGGAATTGAGTTAATGTTGGCTACATAGTGTTTTGGAGGATTCTCTCCATTCTGCAAATTTGAGTGGTTGAAAAACAATTAGTATTAATTATTTAAAATTTGGTAGAATTCTCCAGTGAAACCATGCAGTCTTGGGCTTTTTGGGGACAGGGGGTGGGAGGCTCTCAGACTTCATGTTGTTTTTTTGTGTGTTTCCTATGTCTTCATGCCTCAATTTTGATGAATTGTATCTCTTTAGCAAGTCATCTATTTTGTCAATTTTCCAATTTGTTGGCATATAACTGTAATAATTACTAATTACCCTTGGTATTTCTGTGCTATCAGTTGTAATACCTTCTTTTTCATCTCTTATTTTTATAGATTTGGCTTTTCTCTTACTGTTGGTCAATTGGATCAGTGATTTATCAGTTTATTTTTCAAACAGCAGCTCTTCATTTCACTAATTTTAGATTTTTTTGTATTCTACTTTATTATGTAAATTATTTATTCTACCAAGTTGGAGTTTTATTATTTTTTAGATCCTTGAGATTAACTGTTAGCTTCTGTATTTGATGTGTTCTAATTGCTTGTGGAGAATACAGTTGCTTTAAGTCCTTCTCTTATCATTGTATCTGATAAGTTTTGATGTCATATTGCCATTTTCATTCATTTCAGTGTGTTTTTAAATTTCCTTCTTGATTTCTTTTGTGATTCACTGTTCATGAGGAGTGTGTCATTCTGTCTCTCTTTGTTTTCTGGTTTCTTTTGCTGTTAACTTCCAACCTCATTCCACTGTGATCAGAAAAGATATGTGATAGGATTTCAAAATTTTTGAATTTTCTGAACTTGTTTTATAGTTTAGTGTATGGCATATTATAGAGAATGTTCCATTTACTAATGAAAAGGACGTTTGTTAAATAAAATGTTCTGTAGATACCAACCAGATCCGTTGGTTAGTAGTATAGATTAGCTCTGTTTCTTTGTTGATTTTCTCATCTGTTCATCTTTATTTTTTTGACATTTGTTTTCAAAAAAATTTTTCCACAGGAACATGACAGATAAGAGCCAGTTCTATTACTTTCATGTAACTACCCTCAATTAAACTCACTTTTAAATTCTGGTCGGTTGTTTTTTGTAAATTCTGTACTGTTTTCCGTATACGTGACTATTTTTTCTTAAATGAGACAGATACTCTGCTTTCCCTACAATTATTTTCTGGGGCAGGGAAAGAAGGAGAAAGAGGAAAAAAAGAGTGTGAAGGAAAGGGATGAGAGGGAGACAGAGAGGGAGTAAGGAGGGAAGAAGAAAGGAAACATGGAAGAGAGGGACGGGGCGGGGAAGAGAGAAAAAGAGACAGACATGGAGAGAGAAATTGCAATCACTTCTTCACTCTGTAGTTTTTCTTTGTGTGTTTTTATTGTTTTGTTTTGTTTTTTGTTCTTTTTTTTTTTCCAGTGGATGTGCCTGCCCTGGGAACAAACCTGGATCTGGGAGCTGGCAGCCCCATACAGGGTTCCCATGGGGATGGCAGGAACCCAATCAGTTTTGACTCATTACTGCTGTCACTCAGGTCTGCATTAGCAGGAAGTTGGAATGAGAAGCCTAAGCTGGTTGTCGAGAAATGAGCATCCGAGTTGCTTGATATCTTGTTTATTCCTTGTCACTGCATTTCTGGCAATTTGCATTGGTTAAAATCACTGGTATAATGTTGAATAGAAGTGATTAGAACAGACATACTTGCCCTGTCTTTGATCTTAAGGGGAAAGCATTTCATCTTTCATCATTAAGTGTTACGTAGGTTTTAAGTAGCTGGAGGTTTTTAAAGATAGGTGTTTATATTACCAAGTTGGTGAAGTTCTTTTCTGTGACTTTAGTAAAAGCTTCTATTAGGTGCTGACAGTATATTTTGCCAATCATCTATAAGGTTTTGGAAATGGGTCAGTCTGGTAAATTATGAAAGGTTAACATAATTTGCAATACTGGTTTCTTTTATGTATATTGTTGTAGGTTTCATTTACCGTAAGTTTAAGAAGTTTCTCATCTTTATTCATGAATGGTTTATGGATCTATAGTTCACTTTTGTTACAGTGTCTTTGTGGTCCTGTCCTCATGGAACATCAGGCAGGATCTTTGCTTCTGAAGTATTCTTGAACATGCCTGTATGCTTTCTGAAACCACAGTGATCACACTGCTTTGCAAATATTAGTTCATACATCTTTCTTCTATTTTAGATTATGTGCTTACAAAGAAGAACTTGGAATTATGAATCTGAGTTATTGTTCCTTGCTTAGTATACAGCATGCAGTTGATATAAATATGTTGTGTTCATACAGTTAGTGTTAGATGTGTTTGATAGTCTTAATATCATCAGATAAAGTTATTTTTTGCTCTCCTTTTAGAAAAAAGTGTTTTTTGGTGTTTTTCTAAAAACTAAGAAGTGAAAATGGTTTTAATTGTGATCAAGGATGTAATATACTTTTTATACAGCCACATGTTCTTCCAGACTGTATCGTGTAATAAAATCAGTGATAATTGCAACATTAAGATCCTTTTATGCGTTAAAACAATCCAGTTCTTCAATGTTACTTTCAAGTATGAAATATTGATTACATTTCCTTGGTAGCAGCAGAACAGCGGGAAGATCTTATATTCTTCCCATAATGCAGAAATACCTTATAACTTAGATAAATCACTGCCATCTCAGGATGTGTTAAAAGGGAGGAAGGAGGTGCCAGGAATATTTATTCTTTTGTAGAATAGAGTAGCTGAGAGTTAATTGCTTCCAACAGATAGGTAATGATAGAAAATAGTAGGGAATATGTGGACACAGACTTTAATGAACATCAGTGAGCACCCATTTGCTAATACTTTCCAATGATTGTGAGGTTGGCTCTTAATTTCCCTGCTTCACTTAAATGAAGTTATTCCAAGGGGATGGCAAGATGGCAGTCATTTTCTACACGAGTGAAATTTTCAAACGCAGCACACTGTTGGCTTTGGTACTGTCAGGCTTCTTTTTGTTTTGCAAAGCACAATCCTGCTTCACTGTTAACTCTGCGCTTATGCTTTATTTGCAGCATCTGGCGAGGCCCCAATGTGAACTGCACAGACAGTTCGGGTTACACTGCTTTACACCACGCAGCATTAAATGGACATAAGTAAGTGCCACTTATTTGGACTGAAAATCTTGAGTATCTAGTTACATGTGATGAAGCTAATTAAGTCTGATGATACTGTCTCATGTTGCCACGAGTCCACTGGGCTTATGAGGTTGGAGAGGCACCAGGAAAAAATGCTGAGAAATTGGTAGGAATGTTTCTGAAGATGCTTGTATGTGGAATGTTAACTAACATAATCAATTATCACATAGGACAGCAGATGTAACAGGACTATGTAAGTCATGTGTAGCTTTGGGGAGAAAAGTGGAACAAAACCGCATTATAAAACTTATTTTCCTTTTTCAGTATCTGTATACTCAATATGAGAGTATTCACTGTGAGTGACAGTGAATCTTAATGGAGTATTGCTATTGTAAGCCGTGGGCCTTTACACAAACCACATCACAAAATTAAAAATTTGCCAAAATGCTTTTTCCTTTGTGGTTTTACCTTTTGTAACCCTGAACTTCTTTTTAATTTCTGGGATTATGTCCCAGGTAATGTGATAGTACACATTATGGCTTCTGAAAATGTATTAATCATCACCAGCTTATGTACATTATTAGAGCAAGGGAAGCTAATGAATCCGTGATTGAGTCCGAGTGTGCTGAGTGCTAGGAGTGTTCACTGGTCCCATCCTGCCCACTGCAAGGAAGTCTCTGCTATTCCTCTATCTCCCCCTACTCTGTGTTTTCCCTTTGTGAGAATGCTTCAAATGGATCTTTCTAGAGTTGGATTATTTCATTACAGTTTCTTAGATATGGTAATTATTGCTTTAAAAACTCTAGCAGCCTTTTCCTTTCCCATTTATCATTTCTTTTTTTCTGTGGTTTAAGACAAACAGGACTTACTCATACTTGATTTTAAGTGTGGTGTCTGTGAAGCTATCACTTTTTTTGAGGGGAGGGCTCACAATTTACATATATATGTTATAATATATATTATATATTCATAATTTATTTGAATTTGCAGTACATTTGAAATTATATATTTTCAAATTAATATTATAACTATTTCTCAAAATAATAGTGTCCCAAAGTGGATTGGCATTTGTTTTCTAGCCTTATTTCCAAGGAAGTGTTTGGTAAAAGCATTACTGACTTACACTTTACAATCCATAAACCATATAACCATTGAGACTTATTTTCCTGTGGCTCATTGCATGAGTTCTGTCTCCTTTTGGTAATTTAGAATGCTTAAGCAAAATGAATGGAAATTGTTCATCTTATCATAAAGATAGGAAAGATTTGACTAGTCTTTTAAGATGAATTACAGGGTTAATTACAATTCTGTCATAATTATATGTATCTGCTTTTATCAGAGGTTTTAATTTTTTAAAAAACATTTTCTTATGAGATTTCAATTTTTTTTTTTCATTTTTCTGGTAAGATGTTTCTTAATATCTTCCCACAGGCATGGGAAGAGTCTGGAAAATTGTAATCCTGTCTCCTTATCACTTCTAGTTGTGTGATACAAAGTCATTTACTTCATATACATATATTAATATTTTATGATTCAATGTACTGAATATATTGACTTCTGCTTCGTTGTTCTCCCAGTTATATCATGATGCTACATGGTACTTGCTTTAAGGATAGTGTTCAAAAGACTCACAGAAAATGCATGTTGGATCAGCAAGGTAGCTGAATATTATTTAACCGCACTAACTTAAGCTGCTCTGAGAGGAAAAAAAACAACAAAAAAATAAAATGGGAAACATTCCCCATGGTATCACTGACAGAAGTTATCGGTGAATAAATGAAAAAAACTAAGCAAAAAAACAAAAACAAAAAAACACACAAAAAACAACTCTGTGGGACAAGAGGATAAAGAGAGCCATCGCAGCCAGGCACATAGCACAGCCGGCTGCCAGCTGTGCGCCGCCAACCTACCACACCAAGGTGGGAAGCAGTCACCGCTCACCACCACTCACTGTTAATCAGAGAGGAAAGTCCACAGTCCCCACTGACTTTCACATCAGCTGTGGAAGCTGATTGGGATCTGAGCAACTGCTCAGATTGGGGCAGGGAAACTGTGTTGTTTGCTTTCCCTCTGCTGCTCCTATGGTGTGGCGTAGTCTACGGTGAGAAGTTCCACAGGCTGACTGTTCTGCCAGCATCACAGAGTCAAGGACAGATCCCCTGTATCTAGAACCTGGAGAGTTTGGAGGCATTAGCAGTAGAGCTATGCTCTCACTCTCTGCATGAGCCTGGGGGATTCATCTTTGCTTTTGAGAGCTAACATCAGAACCAGCCCAACACACACACACACAAAAAAAAAAAGAAGAAGAAAGAAGAAAAGAAAGAAAAGTAAAAAAAGGCTATACATGGCCTCCTCACCAGGACTGCAACAATTCATTTTGGATTCATCAATGCCATTGGAATACACCTGGCTTCTTAGCTTTCCAGTGTATACATAGTCTCCTGGCCCAGAACTAGGACTGTTAGCAATATAAACCTCAGAAACAGTTGAACGCTTCTAGCAGGATTTGAGGAAGAGTCCATCCATTTTACAGAGACCTGTAGCCACAGCAATAGTTTCCACAGACCTGGCGTCACTCAGACTTGTCTGTAGGATAAGATGGGCGTTCACCCAAAACACAACCCCATCTGTCACATTCTCAAGGGGAGACTGAACTCACTGAACTCTTTGTGGATCAAAGATACACACTCAAGGAAACCTTTGTTCATCTCAAATCCACACTTCCATCCCTACAAACTGCAGGGAAAGGCTGCACACAATAGTCCAGTGGCTAAATCTCATCTTGCATGCACAGGGATCCTGTGTGGACACCAGTTCTTTTTGGCTGCTCTGCTTCCCACTCAGCTTCCTGCTTGTGGCTGGGAAAGCAGTAGAAGATGATCTAAAGCCTTGGGACCCTGCACCTGTGTGGAGACCAGTAAGAAGCTCCTGGCTCTTGGCTTCAGATTGGCTTAGCACAGGCCATTTTAGCCATTTGGGGAGTAAACTAGCAGACAGATCTTTCTCTCTGTCTCTCCTCTTATAGATCTCTCTTTCCAATTTAAAACAAACAAACCCAGAAAGAACTGCAGAAAATAGTCACCTGTGTCACTTAAATGTGACACCCAAAATCACTCTGAGACTAAACTCCAGGGCTCACCCAGAACCAACATCAAAGCAACAAGCCAATTGATACCCTGTATATTAACTGAAGGAAAAATCAATCGGAATCAGACAAGTCACCAGATTGGCACATGTTGAAGTTGGGACATTGGAAACTTGAAAAAGCAAGCGAGTATTGTGCCTCCAAAGAACACAGTTCTGCTCTAGAATTAGATCCCAAACTGAGGGAAACCTATGAAATGACAGATATGGAATTCAGAGTAACAATTGTAAAGAAACTGAGTGAGATGCAAGAGAAAATAGATAGATTAAAGAAACGAGGGAATCCATGACTGATGTGAATGAAAATATTGCTAAGGAGCTAGAATTCGGGAAGATCCAAACAGAAAATTTTGGAGATGATATTTTTTTTTAGTTTTTTTAAATTGGAAAGTCAGATATACAAAGGAGGAGAGACAGAGGAATATCTTCCGTCCATTGATTCACTCCCCAAGCAGCTGCAATGGCCAGAGCTGATCCTATCTGAAGCCAGGAAACAGGAGCTTCCTTTAGGTCTCCCATGCAGGTGCAGGGTTCCAAGGCCTTGGATCATCCTGTACTGCTTTCTCAGGCCACAAGCAGGGAGCTGGATGGGAAGTAGGGCCACCAGGACAGGAACTGACACCCATATGCTAATCCCAGTGGTTTCAAGGTGAAGACTTTAGCCACTAGGCTACCATTGCCAGGCTCTGAGATGAAATCTTCAAGTGAAAAAAAGATAGATGAGAGCTGTAACAATATAACAGGCCAAGTGGAGAAAAAATTTTGACACCAAAAATAATAATTTTGAAATAACAAAATCTGACAAATGTAAAGTGGAAAGAATGAAGAAAGTATACACAATATGGGATCCCATATAGAAAGATCAATTCAAGATGGGTCAAAGACCTACAGTTAATATCTGAAACCACAAAGTTTCTGACAGAAAATATAGGGAAAATGCTCTAAGACATTGTATAGGGAACAGCTTCTTGAACAACACCCATAAATCAAAACTGTAACAGGCAACAAAAGCAAAAACTAAACAAATGGAACTGTGTCATACTCAGCTGCTTGAGCCAGTGCTGTGGCTCTGTGGTTTAAGCCTCTGCCTGTGGTGCAAGAATCCTTTATGGGCACCAGTGTGCATCTCAGTTGCTCCACGTGCAATCAGCTCCTGCTAATGTACCAAGGAAAGAAGCAAAGGTGGACCTCTGAATCCTCATGAGGGACTCAGAAGCAGAGTTGGAGCTCTGAGTCATCATAAGAGACTCAGAAGCAGCTCCTGGCTCCTGGCTTTGAACCAGCCCAGTTCCTGTTGTAGCCGTATGGGGAGTGAACGAGCAGATGGGAGATCCCATGTCTCTTCTTTCTTTGAAAAATAAATGAATAAATAAACATATATTAAAAAGAAACTTCAGATGCTTTTGTACAGCAAAGGAAACAGTCAATAGAGTGACTATACATCCAATCTGGGAAAAACATTTGCTAACCTCATCTCCAACAAAGAAGTAATATCTCGACTATATCAGCAAATTAAGAAACTCAACAAAGTCATTATCATCCAGTCCAGTTGAGAAATGGGCAAAGGAATCTTTTCTCAAAAGGAGAAATTCAAATGGCCAACAGCTGTGTGGAAAAAGGCCCAGCATCACTAGTCATTAAGGACATTTAAATCTGAAAATCACAATGAGTTATCACCTCATCCCTGTCAGAATGGCTAAAACCTAAAACAGAGAGTTACACAGACTATGGAAATGATCCCTGAGAGTATAGCCTGCACAGAGAGTTATAAATGTCGGTAAGGTTGTAGAGAAATGGGAATATATATGCACTTGATGAGAATTTAAGTTAACACAGCCATTGTAGAAAGTAGTGTGAACAAGTCTTGAAGAACT